GCCGCAGACGGTGCCGCTCCCGCGATACTAGGCTGCCCGCGCGTGCGCAGGTCTGCAACCCGGGTTTCCCACGGATCCCAATTATGTTCAGTGCAGGCGTTTTTATTTTTTCCAGGATCCAATCAAAAATCACTAATTGCATTCTGTTGTCCGATCTCTTTGGTCTCCTTTCATCTGGCACAGTGTCCTGCCTTTTGTGCCCCCTTTTTTTTTGTTATTGATTTTAGAGGAAGAAGGGAGAGGGAGAGAAACGTCTGTTGGCTGCCTCTTGCACATCTGCTACTGGGATCCAGCTGCAAATGTGCCCAGACCGGGACTCAAACCTGCCACCTCTCGGGGCATGGATTGATGGGATGATGGGCTGACACTCAACCCCTGAGCCTTGCCGCCAGGGCACTTTTGTGTCTTTCGTGATAACTTTTTTTCAATCCTCCCCTGAGGGTATTTTTTCCATTGCTTTTCAGAGAGAGAGAGAGAGAAACATCGATGTGAGAGAGACACGTGGATGGTTGCCTCCCACAGGCACCCCAACCTGGGCTGGGGATAGAACCTGCAATCCAGGTACCTGCCCTTGACCTGGAATCAAGCCCTCAACCCTTTGGTGCTCAGGCAGATGCTCTAACCACTGGGCCACACAGGCCAGAGCAGGGTACAATTACAATTTAAATTATTTATGTGTTTAGGAATGATTTTATGATGTTTGGTAATTCAGGTCACAGTTTTCCTCACTGCACGGTGTAAGTAATTGGGTGCAGACCTCTTCATCCAGGGTTCCTGACCTTGATTTAGTAGTTTGGCTTGAATTACTCAATCTCTTGAGGAGAGTGGAAATTAGAAGCTGCACCCTCTTCCTGACAACTGTGGTCCAGACATGTGCTTTGAGCATAGTAACTAGCCTCCCCCAATCCTTTTCATTCCTGAGCTGGCTGAGCCCCACAGCTCCATGGGTATCACCTCAAGATCTTCCAAAGCAGGGCTTGAATACACATGTTTGTACGTGGGCGTGACAAGTTTCTCTCTTAACAAAAAGTGAATTTGACCTCCACTCTCAGGGTTAAATAATGCTCGGAGGCTGCTGGTGCAGTGCCCCCTCTGCCGACGCTCAGGTGCACGCCTGAGCCATCCCGGTGGGCCACCCTGCTCCTCTGCTTTCCAGCTCTGGTGGGGTCTGAGCCTCTCATCCCTCCAGGATGCCAGTCACGTGGTTCCCTGCTGTTGGGGGAGCTCAGAGAGGAGACGTGCTCTTGCCGGCACACAGTGAGGGGGACTCTGAACCTTAGAAAACAAGAGAAACAATCCTCAATACATGCTGCTGGATTATCTTCCAGGGAACACGTTCGCTGTCTGGGAGTGGAAAATACATGTATAAATAAAACCTTGTTTTTATAAATGTTTTTATTTATAGACTACAAAGCAATTGGCAAAATAGGCGAGGGAACGTTTTCTGAAGTTATGAAGATGCAGAGCCTGAGGGATGGAAACTACTATGCATGTAAACAAATGAAGCAGCACTTTGAAAGGTAGGTTAACACTCCAAGCGGACTAGGTTAAACCAGTGGGGCAACTTAGTATTTGTGGGAAGATTGCATTCATGTAACAATATGTAAGGAACAGTCACATTTCTTCAGGCAGTGAGGATTATGGGCTCATTTTATGTTTATTATACTGGGTTTTATTTATGTCCCAGTTTACTGTGATATCAATGATTAATTGGTCACAAAAAACTTCAATTGTAAAAGTATGCTTCACTTAAACAGTCTACGTTCCTCAGAGTTTTGTTTGTTGGACTTTTATAAACAAAACCTTAGTCTAAGTAAACCAGAAGCCGCTGTGATTTAATTAATTGTGAATCGGTTAATTGAAAAGTAGTTTCCATGCCCGGCCGGGCGTGGCTCAGCGGTTGAGCGTTGACCTAAGATCCAGGCGATCAGGGTTCGATTCCCGGTCAGGGCACATGCCCAGGTTGTGGGCTGCAGCCGATCAATGACTCTCTCATCATTGATGTTTCTATCTCTCTCTCTCCCTCTCCTTTCCTCTCTCTGAAATCAATAAAGATATATTAAAAAAAAAAAAGAAAAAAAAAGTAGTTTCCAAATAGGGTTGGAGAAGTTGAATCTCTGGGGGACAGTGTGTGGAGAGGGGGCTCTTGGGTTCTGGACAGGTCCCTNGTTTCCAAATAGGGTTGGAGAAGTTGAATCCCTGGGGGACAGTGTGTGGAGAGGGGGCTCTTGGGTTCTGGACAGGTCCCTTGGAGGAGTGCTGTGGCTGTGTCCCGCAGAGAACCCCTTGTGTCCCCGAGTGTGCGGCTCAGTATGGATCATGCTGAGGTCATTACCACGCCAGTGGAATAGCGGGCTGAATGCTGCTTTACTGTAGCTGTTGAACTTTCCAGTGGTGGGGCTTGAAGCTCAGCTTTTCATGTCAAAGGAATTGACGTCTCTAAATGTCTGAAGCACATTTTTTAAAAGCATAGTCTCTCCCCCACGTTGGTGCCGAGCCTTCTGGAGTGTTTTGGGATATAAACCCTGACTTCAGGCTCTTAGTGTGAAAACTTGTTTCTCAGGTCAGGAAGGAGCATAGGACAGCTAGTGGTGTCTAAGGGTATGGTGAACAGTGACCTCCTCCTCGCAGTGTCCCCATGGGATCGAGGTCACCATCCCTTTCTGCGCAGGAGGACGAGCTTAGAGTTGTAAAGCAGCTCGACAGCTGTCACAGAGCCAGATCTGAGTCCAGGTTCCCTTTCTGCACAGCCCAAAGGGGTGGCTGCTCCCTGCTCTGCCAGGACGGCTGTCGCTGGTCTCTGGCTTTTCTGTCACTTCTTCCTTTGGGCGTCAAATTACTCTCAATAGAAAATTTTATAGAGAATTTGACACGCAGCGCACTGATCACCCCGTGTGTAAGGGCAGACTTCCTTGAACAGCCCCCTTGGAGAAACACATCACAAGCCCAGATGGCTGAGGGTGGACTTGTAGCTGCAGGGTGGGTGAGAGGCACTGGCCCCTCAGGGGAGAGCCAGTCCTACTGTCAGGTTCTGGGGTAAATGTGCTTACAGACAGCAGGACCTGCCAGCTATTACTTTGGTGAAGAGATGCAAACAAAAAGTGGCCTGGACACGTCCGAGCCTGCTGCTGTGTCAGAACACCGTGCGGGCATGTCACTGCTGAGCCGCTGTCAGCAACCACACGCTCGGCCAGATGTCCCCTCAGGAAGCAGAGCTGTCTATAACACAGAGTAGAAGTGTTTCCATCAAAGATGAGACTGCTCTAAGGGGCATTCTTTTGAGGGGTGGGGGACATGCAGTTTATCTGGAGAAGTGCCTTCGTGTACTCGTGCAGCCTCAGTCCCTCATGGAAGTTCACCCCTGCTGTCAGCTGGGACAAGGGTCTCAGGCCTGGGCATTCTCACTGAATGCTGCTCTTGCGGGTGTTAGTGTACAGCACAGTGTTTTCCAGACCAGTGGAAACAGGATGAACTTGACCAGAGCTCAGCCAGGATGAGTGTAGCCAAGGGCCGGAAGAAATCAACATGTAGTTGACAAAGAGTCTACACGTGGAGCCTTGGTTCTCGAACTTGATTCCTTCTGGAGGCTGTTGGAGAAGCTGTTTATTCGAAAAGTGACCCATTTTCCCCATTAGAAATAATGTAAATCAAATTAATCTGTTCCAGCAACAAAAGCAAAAAACACACAAAAATATTCACAGCGCAATTTCCTGAGATGTTAACAACAGGAGGGTTGGTGGTAAACTGACTCACACTCTCGAATCCTCTCCTTTGTCGCCTGAGAGACGCGTGACGGATCATACGGTGTCAGCATGAAAGGACTGTCGGGTCGAGAACCGAAGTTTTGTTCAACAGTGGAGACATTTTCCCATGAACAACTTGGTCGAGAAGCAAATTGTTCAAGATGAGAGACATTTGAGAACTGAGGTTTGATCATAAGCAGTGGCTAAGCCTCCCTTCCCGAGGCAGGGCTTTGGATGTGAATCCCGTCTCCTGTACCTGCTGCACGTAAATAGAACTACCTTGGACACCCATGTCTGAGTATTGAGTAGAGCACCCCACGCAGTGAACCCCTTGAGTTCCGTAGTACACGAGCACCTGAGCCGTGGCTTCCTTGTCTCCAGGCGCTCGAGGACCAGAGGAGGGAAGGACCAGGAGGTAGCTGCCAGGTGGGTGTGAGGGTCACGTGCAGCAGACGGCAGCCTCGTTGCCATCCCCGTTGTCATCTGATGTAGTTTAGAATAATTCTTGCTCTTCACCTCCCTTTAAAAGTGGTTGATTAGAACACATTTTCCTTTTAAAACCCATAATAAGTAAAGATTTTTAATAAAATACCACTGAATCGGTGTTCCTTGGCTTTTCTTTATGTATGTGGGGGAGGCTCTATAGTGGGAATCCTACTTTGGCATGTTGCTGTCCTTGGAAGGGAGCGCAGACCTGGGCCAGGGGTGTCGGGTGGCTGACGCAAAGATCAGTGGTCATCTCAGGCTGTGGACAGGTATCTGCAGCCATGCATCCAAACCTGAGGGGATTGACCACCCATGGGAGACTGTTGCAACAGCTGCAAAGCAGAATTACTCAAACCCTAGGAACCCAAGTGTGGTTAGAGCTGAGGTTCTGGACAGATGGGTAGATACTTCTGGAAGGCTGCACAGCCATAGCCGCCTCAGCACAGAGTGGGCTTGTCTTCCGCAGCGAAACCTCTGGTTGGAGTGGCAGGAACAAACAGCGCGAGACCATTCAGTAGCTGACTCTGTAGAGAGAGCAACGGAACTTAAACCCACTAACATTCCATTTGCAAATAGGATTTCAGTAGAGGAGAGACACACAGATCACATCCTCAGCACGCAGAAAAAACTGTCCGACTCGAGGCGATAATCACAGTGAGAGGAGCCGGTCTCGGGTCTTCACGAAGAGCTGATGGCAAGTAGAATATCTTCAGATGCTAACAGGCCGAGACGCAGTGGAACGGGTCACGCACACGAACTGAGAACCGGGGAGCGGAAGGACACCATGGCGGCGGCAGAATTTGTAGAGGAATGGTGGAAGTTGGCATACAACACCCAGTCCCCCGGATCTCTACTAACTGACACTGCATTTTTTACTTTAAAAAATGCAGCTGTAGCCCTGCCAGTCATGGCTCAGTGGTTGAGCATCCACCTAGGATCCAGGAGATCGCGGTTCGATTCCCGGTCAGGGCGCATGCCCCGGTTTTGGGCTCCATCCCCAGTCGGGGGCGTGCAGGAGCAGCTGATCAATGACGACTTTCTCATCATTGATGTTTCTCTCTCCTACTCCCTTCCTCTCTCTCAAATCAATAAAGATATATATATTTAAAGTGAGTAGAACGGAATTTCACCAGCTCAAAGGAAGGTGATTCCCACAATCACTCCCTTTGAGAACCTCTGGGGTGAAAGTCTCTGATGCAGCGAGTCTGTGGGCCCCACCTGGGAGGGAGGCAAGGCTCCTTTGAGGTTCCGTCGGAGGGCATGGCAGCCGCTGGCCCTCGCCTCTATTACATTTGTATTGATGGGATTTGGGGTGTGAACAGGGCGTCAGGCACAGCAGTCTTTAAGAAAAGCCTGCAGTAAGACACCTGCTGAGAGGCCACCTGTCACCAGGTGAAGGCAGTGGAAAAAAATGACAGCCTTTGGTAACGATAAGGAAGGGTGGGTCTGTTTATGGACATTTAAAATGCCAATTTTTACATGGCTTTTACATTGCTCGGTTCTCATAAACTGATTAATAGGAAATTTTAATATCTCTATATGCTTCTTAATATAGCAAAATAAACTACCAAGGTATTCTTTCAGGAGCTTAGATGGGAAAAATTTGAATTTATGTGCAGAGCCATAAGAACTTTGATTTTTATAGGATAGCGCAGAAATGTGACTCGCCTAATTTCAGCTGCTAATGGAGAAGTAAAACCTGATTAACTTGCTGGGAGTGTCTGTGGGTTTTCAGTTGTGACCGTGGACAGTAAGTGATGATTTAATGACCCAGATTTAAAGTTGACCTGCATGCTACATGAGTTGTTTGTTTTTGCCTACACGATAGTATTGAGCAAGTGAACAATCTCCGGGAGATACAAGCCCTGAGGCGCCTGAATCCACACCCAAACATTCTTACGTTGCATGAAGTGGTTTTGTAAGTATATTCGGGCCTTTAAAAATTATCTAAATTTCATGATAATGATTAAACCTCTTTTTAAGAAAGATCATGGTAGGCATTGTAGATATTTGCTTCATAGCTCAGAGAGTAGTAATTTTTATCTTAAGTCACATATTTATTTGGTCAGCTGTGTATCTGATTCCCGGCTCCTGAGGCCTCGAGTGTGAACTGGGACCCGCTGGGGAAGCACTGTTGTCATATCTCGGGTGGGGGTGGGTGGGGGGACTGGCCTTCCTTTCCCTGCCGCAGTCATCTCTGCAGTCTCATGCAGCCTTTCTTACAATAATTGATACCGTTTCAGGGGTTTTAAAATTCCTGGTCTCACTATAGAACAGTTTCCATAAGTCTTACCTGTGACCAGGAAGGCAGGGCACAGCTGTCCCCAGGCGCTGGCAGCTGTGCCTGCATGCGGACCCTGAGCAGGGCTCACGGGGGGGTCTAGGCCCTGCCTTTCCCTGCGCCCCTGCTGCTGCTCCCCAGGAAGGCGGCCTGGCCTTTAGAACCTGCCACGAAATCACAGTCTCAGTCTCTGACCCCTCACGTGCAGCAGGTATTCATCAGAGGACCAACAGTTTTAAACTTGGTATAAACTGTGGCTGCAGCCACGTGGCCGCCTGGAACCCGCGGCTGTGCCGAGTGTCCCCTTGGGCCGCATCTGGAGACTGAGGTCTGCGTGCAACAGTCACACCCGGCCTGCAGAAGGCGCTTTAGAGGCACTTTAGAAAGCTCTCTGTCCAGACTTGTGCTGGGGCCTCCTGTCACCCTGAGAGACAGTGGGGGCCCTCCAGCCCCCGGAGGCACTCTGAGCCAGTCAGGGCTGCCCTGTGGGGTTAGGGATCCCTTCCAGGACCATTTGAATCAGGAGAAGCTGCTGGCTCAGCTGAAGGTCTCTGTCCCCACTGGGCAAGGCCTGATGGTCTTTCTCCCTTTTCCCGGCTGGTTTTTGGACTCTTCCCCCGTTGTAATGTATGCCAGTCACATGGAAGTAATATAGGGAAGTTAAAACTAAGATGGCATCCGCAGGGCGTGAGTTAAATCCCCTCTTCTGCTTGGCCAGCTCTCCAACCTCATTTCTTCTCTCTCCTGAGAGTTAATTTTATATTTTGTCAGGATGTATGTCTTTCAAAAATGGGGGGTGGTACTTTTAGAGTTTTTGCTTAAAGTAGGGCTTTACTATTATTTTAAATTAATTTTACCTGAAATATTTCTTTAAAACCAAAACTTCTATTTCAGTCATTACACTTTGGCCTTTGTCTGATGTGGGAGCACTTTACTTTTACCAGAAATGTTTACAGATGAATTAAATATCTGATTGTTTTTTCTGATTAAGACACGAGGAAACATTTAAAAACCTGCTTTCTTCTGCAGTGACAGAAAATCTGGTTCTCTTGCGCTAATATGTGAACTTATGGACATGAATGTTTATGAACTGATACGAGGTACGTAGAGTCATTGGAAAGCTAACGTAAGAACGTATTTGTAGTTTGCACAAACTTTGTTTTGGTTCTCAAGGTCGGTCGTCACCGAGTGCAGTGTTTATGTACAAACACACAGGGCCGGATGGCCGCAGGACAGCTGGGGCAGCTCAGCTCCCTCCCTGAGGTCCCCACTCCACGGTCAGTCTTCTCTTGGGCTCTGCTGCTGATCTATTTCTGTTCTTGCCTCAGGGTAAGACAGGGCTTTCCCCCAAAGAACCCTCACAGGAGAGGGCACCTCCTTATATTTGGATCCTTCCAGAGTCTCCCGAATGACAGGGTGCTCATTCATTTACTCTCGAACAATGGAGCCCTGTTAGGAAAGCCGGTGCCTGGGCCGGCCAGGGGGGGCTGGAGGCTACAGGGGTCACCTGAGGGAATGGAGAGGAGGAGGCAGGTCCTTGGCCCACATCTAACAACCATCCCTGGGGCTGACCTCACGGTTGTGTGAGATGCCAGGACAGTGAGCCTTGAGAATGTCACTGAGAAAGCGCACAGGAAGTGTTACATTTCACAGGTCACACTGTGCTTATGGGACCAACCAAAAAAGTAACCTCCTAGTGTCATGCGAGTGCCTGTGGCCTGGAATAGGGTGTCCCTGACAGCATCATCGATGACTTAGAAACTGCTCTGTTGGCTCAGACAATTCAGGCCAAACTGAAGATGGTTGCTCTGGAAAAGGTTCCGATCCACGAGCTGCTCCGAGGAAGACACGGATGCTGGACGCGCCCGTGGAGACTGCAGATGAGATTGTTCTGTGAAGTGCAGAGCGGAGAAAACTACATCATCAAACAAGTAGACTTTACATGGGACTTAGAATATGTGCTTTAGTAAATTAAATGGAGTAAGTGGGCACATTTTTCTACATCCATAAATTGATGTAAAATATTTTGATCCAAAAACTTTTGGATCTTTTTGGGAAGATAGGAGATTCATATCTGGGACTCCATGGTATTTCTTATAATCATTCATAGGTAGCCCCTCAGTCAGGTTTAGTCTTGTTTCAAGCGCATTTCTAACAAAGTTAGATCTGGTTTCTTGGTCTGAAACCTACTTAAAATAGAGCTCTTAGCCCGGCCGCTGTGGCTCGGGCTGAGCCTGGCCCCGTGAACCGGGAGGCGCTGCTGTGCGGTCCCGTTTCCTGAGCCTGCGGCCGGCGGGGTCGGCTTCATCTTCGTGTAGCAGCGCAGGCGGGGCGCAGGCGGGGCGCAGGCGGGGCGTCCGCGCCGCGGGAGCCAGCACTCGCCTCACCAGCTCCACGGGCATGTCTGCGCCGGTGACCGAGGCCTTACCCGTAACGAACCCGCGCGCTCGCGTCCTTGGCGGTGGGAGACGCGTGTCTTGTCTCAGGCTCCCGACGGCTGCTCCCTAGAGTGTGATATTTCAAAACTCAAGGGAGGGGGCAGTTTCCGGCAGGTTTCTGTGCGTTTAGACACTGGAGAAAGCTTTGCTTAGAAACCTGCTTTTCAGCAGTCGGGGAATTGTGTGGCTGGGGAAGCTGCGTCCCTTTCGGTGTCTGCCTGTGGAGCGCGACTGGAGACAGGCCGCGCTGTTGCAGGTCGGGCGCTGACTCACGGCCGCCACGGTGCTGTCAGCGGCCAGGGCGGCCCGTTGCCAGAGGCGAGAGCGCGGGGACGCCCGCAGCGCTGCTCGGACCCTGAGTGTTGGAGCAGAGCTGCCTGCAGGGAGGGTGAACTGAACTTTTGAAAAGGGCCACTTGGAACTGATGAGCTACAGAGACGGTGGTGCTGCTGGCTCAGGAATGCCCGCCACGCGCAGGCCCTGTCCTCAGCTCTTGTAGGCCTAACTCCTCTTACCCTCACGACAGCCCCGTCAGGCACATGTTGTCGTTGCCCCCATTTTAACGATGAAGTTGAGGCTCAGAGAGGTTGCCTGTCCAAGGCTCTGTACCCGGAAAGCAGTAGAACTGGGGTCTGAACTTAGGCAGGTTCCCGCGTGTCCTAACCACCGCGCAGCGCCTCTTGACAGACCCTGTGCTTGGCACTGTTACCGCCATCCCCGTTTTACAGGGGACTGAGGCCGAAGGATTAAGTAGCAACCTGAAGTTAATTGTTAATGAGCAGCAGAGCTGGAACGTAAACGGAGGTCTGACTGGAAAGCTTAACGCTTCTGCTCTGTGGCCACCCTGGGCCTCTGCCCGGCCCCCGCTCCGTGCTCACCGGAACAGACGCGGATTGTTTGCTCTTGCGGTGATGCTGGCTGACTGAAACGCAGGTCGCTCACGCACGAAGCTTTCTCTCCTGGAGAGCTCGTGTCACTACCTGACGACCCTCCTGGACAGTCGGAATACTGAGTAGCACTGCTGAGCACCGAAGAACCGGTGAATGGACGGGGAGGATGTTCGCAGCCTCTACCGAGCTGTCCGCCTGTACGCACAGCAGTTTCAGGGGCCGGGAAGGAGGGGAAGCCGCACAGAAGGTGCATTTTGGATGCAGAGAGGAGACTGTTGCAGAGATAAACCGTGTGAAGGTAAAATCCTGAGGGAGTGGATCGCTGGGGGTCGTTTTCTCTCCTCTGCTAGATGTCAGTCGAGGCAGAGGTGACTGTGGGCCCGACGTCCAGGCTCATCTGGAACATGGGAGAATTGGGGGAATGCAGGAGAGGATGTCTCGTTCACTGGGACACACCGTGAGCTGCTCTTGAGGTGGGGACATACGGGGAGCAGGATGGACACGGCTTCCTCCCCGTGGAGCTCACACTCAGGAGAGACAGCAGCGAGTGAAGGAGTGACCAGAACCCCAGGCAGGGCCCGGGGCCCGGGGGCAGCCAGTGCAAAGGCCCTTAGGCCCGTGGCTGCAGTGGGGGGGGGTAGGAAGTGCGGGCAGGGCCCGCGGCTGGTGGGGCCGGGTGAGCGTTCAGGTAATTCGGGGTCAGTAGGAAGCCACTCGTGGGGTTGGAACCAGGGGAGAGGGGTCTTTTGATTGGTGTTTAGACCAGTGTTTCCAAAACTACAGTAGAAAACCAGGTTTGTTTTTTACTACCTGTTGTGGTCCAAAACGTTTGTAAAATGCAGTAAAAACTAATTACCGGGAAAAGGACTGGTTGCTTGGATGTCCCGGCAACAAGGAAAGGCCGACAGAGCTTCCAGGCAGGTGCCGCTAATGCCCCTCATCCCCTCTCAGGCTGTGGTGTGGTGTTGTGGGCCGTGCTCTGAGGAGCACCTTGTAGGGACTTGTCTGGCTGCAGTTTAAAGAAAGGGGCCGTAAGTGCGTGTGGCTCTCCCCTTTTAGTTGCAGGCAACAGCGTCCGTCGTCGCTAGTTTAACCAAAAGGGGTTTTTTACGTGGGACGGTGTCAGTGGTGGCCTCAGCAACCAGAGCTTTCCTGGTGCCACCTCCCAGGAGGCCTGACCGCGCTCTGGTGCGTCCCCCGCTTCCTGCCGTCTCTCGAGCACTCGGCTGGCACGGATCTGCCTCCCTGTGTCCCCACCGGTCCACCCGGAGTGTGAGCTCCCTGGCACTGGGGTCCCCTATGTGGGACACTGTCCGTCATCTACCCTGGTGACGTTTTGGACATTGAGAGTCATAGTTAGATGCTTTCACTGCAAGAAGCTGTTCCATCCGGCTGGTTCCCACAGAGGAAGGAGTTTGTTGTAAAACTGCAGGTCTCTCTCGGAGGCTCAGTCAGGCCTCCAGGGAGGTGGGACCAGGAAAGCTCTGGTTGCCAAGGCCACCATCACTACCTGCAGGCCACAAGGTCCCCCGCCCCCTCTCGGCTGACACAGCCCCTGAGACCCTCCCCTGGCAGCAGATGGGCTCGGCGCAGAAATCCCAGTCCCCGGCCACCTCCAGAGCGTGGGCTGTTGCAGGCGCAGTGGGCTGGCCTGTCACCTTAGGGTGATAGCTTCAGAGGCTGCAGTGGGGCAGGCGTCCTGAAATAAATCGTGATGCTGCAGAATGAACCAGGTAGGAAAAGGTAAAACCAGACAGGTGACCGTGACCGTGGCCTCCAGTTCGTTTCCATGGGTGGCTCAGGCGTGACGGACAGACTCGTTCAGTTTGTTTCTATTTCATCCAGTCTGACCTGCTGGGTGTATGGTTTCTAATGGACCAGGAAAAAAGAAAACATTGCCAATTCAGCTGACGCACAGCTTTCCCATCCCCTAGCAACCGGGGTTCCGTCCTTAGGAAAAGAGCCCTTTGGGACCCATTTAGACAGTCCCCGTGTCACGTCCTCGGCATATATCCAAAGCCGAGTCACAGTGAAGCGAGTCTGTTGCGGCGCTTCTCCCACGTCCCGGGACACGGCGAGCAGTGATTGACGTCTTCGCGCTCTTTACACGTCTGTCCCTGCCGGTCGGTGTGTGATGTGACCTCGCTGTCCCGGGAATTCTCTTCCCAGCCAGTGACACCGTCCTGCGGTTTGCTGCTGTGCTTCGCAGGGCGTTGCCTCAGCCCAGACCTCCCACATGGAGAGCGGGTACCGGGTCCGAGCACGCGCCGCCGCTTGGTGACGGGAGGCCCTGGTCGGGCTCTTTCCCGTGGGGGCAGTCAGAGTCCCAACTCTTAGGGTCGGCACGAGGCTTAAATGAGGTAATATGTGCATTTCATGGTTGGTGGTGGAGCTCGGCCCCGCTGCAGAGGTGAGGAATGGAGTTCCAAAGAAGCCACAGCACTTGCCTAAGATGAGCCGGCTGCAAAGAGCAGAATGGGGAGGGCCCGTCCTTGAGTGGCCGTGGTTGCTGAGAGGGGTGCTGGTCACTGCCCAGGCTCCTCGCTGAGTCTGCTCTCCCATCGGCTACCCTCTCGGCGAGATCTCTAACCGCTCAGAACAGTGAGCTCTCCTTTGCAAAGCACCGATGGCTGGCACGTGCACACGTGCCGTGGGGCACGGCCAAGGGCTGTCTGGCTGTGCCCCGGTGGATCCCAGAGTGCACCTCCAAACCTGACCACAAGGCCAGGCACAGGCCTGGGGGCGGGGTCTCGTGGGGAGGGACGTGTGCCGATGGCTCTGCCATAGCGCAGGCTACACTGGCAGCCACATTCCCCCAGTGAGGACAGACAGCAAAGGCCACAGCTGATCACTGTGTTCAGTGCTGTGCTGTACGTGACATTCTTTAGAATCTTCCTAATGAGAAAATTGGTAAAAATTAACTTGGTCAGGAGAGCAAAACCAGACAAGGGCGCCTGTCTCCTGTAGCTTCGCTCCATCAGGCAGCGATTCTCCAAGGAGGGGCGAGGGGAGGGCGCCCGGGCTGCCAGAGGGTTGGGGGTACCCAGGAGGAAAGGAAGGCTGGGTCCCTGAAGAGGGCTCTCCACGGGGACTGCAGGCAGCGGAGAAACGCAGGGCCATGAAGGTCTATGGGATTCGTGCTCGTGGAGGGGGTAACGGTTTTCTGAATTGGTAGGTGAGAACGGTTATTTTACAAATTTAAAACACACCTTTGAAATGAAAATCAAGTGAGCTGTGACACCTTCTGGAAGATGCTGGAGTAGAGGAAGAAAGCAGAGCATCCCACACACCTGCGGGAAGGAAGGCGGGGAGCAGGGCCCGGACAGCGCCAGCAGCTCAGCTGTCCCTCGAGCCCTGATGGGCCCAGCAGGTGCCGTCGTGGGAGCCTGTGGCCTGGAAAGCAGCCGTCGGTCTTCTCAGAGTAGAGCAGCTGCACTGCTGTGAGCCTGACCTGTCCTTTAAAACAGAAATCTCCACCCAGACAGGCGCCCAGGAGAACTCTGGGTGTACAAGCGACTCCTCACGCTCCAGTCAGCAGTTAGGAGGAGGGCTCAGGCTGAGCCAGGTTACTCAGCCAACCACTCCCGTGATTCCCACCGGACACTGTCTCCCCTCGATCAGAACACACACCGCGATTCCGGGTGGGATCGCGCCGTGGGTGGAGTTCTGAGTGGCTTTTTTGGGGGCACTCTGTGTTTCCTGTAAAACGGCTTCAGGTCACTCCACACAGCGGAAATTAGGTTTTCACGTGTTATTAAGTAAGAACGGGGTCTGTTTTTTATTCAAAAAAGGGGCCTAAGGACCATTGGTACCCATATTTGGCTGTTTCCTTGATTGTACAGGGAGAAGACACCCCTTATCTGAGAAAAAAGTCATGCACTATATGCACCAGCTGTGCAGGGCCCTGGATCACATGCACAGGTGTGGCCCCGAGACGTGGCAGCTCCCAGATCCGCAGCACGCGTTAGCATTCGTTAAGGACGCCGTCAGTGAGGCACAATTAATGCTCTCCTCCCTTTTATATTGAATGCAGAAATGGAATATTTCACAGAGATGTAAAACCAGAAAATATATTAATAAAGGTAAGGGCTTTCGTATGAAAAGTTGATGTCAGCATAAAGGTAGAATAAAAACTTCCCAGTGGGTGTGCTTTCAGTCCCAGGTAACTGGATACGAGGTTCGCAGTAGTGTTTTCCTCCCAGTTTGAAAAAATGGTTATTTAATACATGTCGTCAATACATGTCGTCAATACGACCGTACACCTGGAAGGAAACTCTCAGGCACCTTTCTCAGACTATGTACAAAAACAAACTCCAACTTATCACCCCAAACACTAAATATAACAGTGGGAGAGTCGGGATTCGAGCAGGTCGGCCTCGCCCCAGAGCCACCCGGGCCCTGCCCAGGCAAAGCCACAGCGTGGCCAGGGTGGGCCACGCGTTCACCCGCGAGAGCCCTGCTCACGCACGGCCGCCCGAAAGCGTCCTGCCCCTTGTCCCGAGGCAGCGAGTGACTCTGCTGCTGCAGAATTAGCTTCCTTTCCTAGAATGTTCTGTAGTGGAGTTAGAGGACGCGCTCTTTCTGGTCCAGCTTATTTCACTCGGCACTTCTGAAATTGGCCCATGGTGCTTGGGCGTTCTCTTGCTTGTTTGCCCTTTTTCCTCTGCATTTCAGTTTGGGGCGTTTCCGTTGGCCTATCTCCCAGCTCCCTGGTTGTTTCCTGGCTGTGTTTGGTCTATCGATGAACCCAGCAAAGTCATTTAAAAACACGTTTCTATAGACTTTTAGAGAGAGGAAGGGAGAGGGGTAGAGAGACAGATGCAGCAGTGAGAGAGAAGCGTCAGCGCCAGCTGCCTCCTGCGCCCTGCTGAGCACCGAGCCGCAGCTCACGCAGGCGCCCTCACGGGGAATCCAACAGATGACCTCTCAGTTCCTGGGTTGATGCTCGACCACTGAGCCACACCAGCCGGGCCCAGCAAAGTCTTTTTTTTTTTTTTTTGGCTAATTTAAAAAAGTTTCTAGCATTTCCTTGTGATCCTTTCTTATAGTTTTCATCTCTGCTGACATTTCCCATCTGAACTTGCGTGTTGTCCACTTTTTCCATTAGAGCCCTTCACAGATGAATCGTAGTTATTGTAAATTCCGTCTGATGATTCTCAACCCTGTGCCATGTCTAAGCCCAGCCCTGAAGCCTGCTTTGTCTCTCAGACTGTTTTTCTTGCCCTTTAACGGTCTTATGCTTTTTTTGGTGGTGGTGGTTAATCCGCACCCGAGGATATTTTTTCCATTGATCTTCAGAGAGAGTGGAAGGGAGGGAGGGAAGGGGAGAGAGAGAGAAATATCGATGTGAGAGACACATCAATTGGTTGCCTCCCTCTGCATGCATCCCGACTTGGGCCGGGGATCAAACCTGCAACCCAGGTCCATGCCCTCGACTGGGAATCAACCCCGCGACCCTTCGGTGCATGGGCCGGCGCTCTAACCACTCCGAATGCCAGCCAGGCAGCCTTATGCTTCTTGTTGATAGCCTGGCGTGGTGCATTGGGGATGGGAACCGAGGCAGGAGGCCAGCAGAGGGGCCTTGCGCTGTAGCTGCAGGTACGGCCTGTATTTTACCACCTGAATGTGAAGGGTAAAGAAAGTGGAAGAACTGCCCCGAAACCCGTCTCCCTGGTATGTCTGACTTGCTCACAGAGCCGGGTGCGAGCCGGCCCGAGCTGCCTGAGCGGCGCTGGGCGTCTGGCTGTGGGTGTAACTTGCTCGCAGACTCACACGTGACTTAACTTCTTCCAGCGTCTGCAGAACACTTGCTAGCATGTTCCACTGGAAAGAAGCCCACGTCCTCACCTGTTAGGGCACCTCCTAGTGCTTACAGATATACGGCCAGTGACTGGCATTTCACAGGCCAGTTTAGTTGCTAGTGGCTTTCCCGTTAGTACGTAAATATTTGAGATGGCTTCTGTTTCGACAGCTGTGCAAGGAGAGTCCTCTGTCCCTGCTTCTCTCCCCCTGCAGCAGGATGTCCTGAAATTAGGGGACTTGGGGTCCTGCCGGAGTGTCTATTCCAAGCAGCCGTACACGGAGTACATCTCCACCCGCTGGTACCGGGCCCCCGAGTGCCTCCTCACCGATGGCTTCTACAGCTACAAGATGGACCTGTGGAGCGCTGGCTGCGTCTTCTACGAGGTCGCCAGGTAGAGCCCCCACCTTGGTCCGTGAGCCAGCTCGGGGCCCGGGCACCTGTGTGAACGTGCTGGTGTGCGCACAGGCGGGCGGGCCTCTCGCCAGGCCCTTCCCCACAGCACGGATTTCTCAGTCATCCTGGTGCTGCGACTGCTTTTAACTTAACAGAAAACGTATTTTGTCAACACCTTTCCTTGCTTGCTGTGATGGAGAACAGAACACCTGGCAGCCCGGCCCTGGGCCCCCGCCTTGGGCTTCATCAGTGAAATGACTGATTACCAAGTTAGGGACCGAGTAGAAACGTGCTTATGCCACCGTGGGGCTGCCGGGGGGTGTGAGCGGTGGCCCTGGCCCTGCCTGGGAGGTGCAGGTGCATCGCCAGGGTCTCTGGACGCCCGGCACAGCCTCCACTCCTCAGCATCCTCCTGGCCACACGCCCCCCTCGGGGCTTCCCCGCTGGCTGGGGCGGGGCCTGGGAAGAGGGGAGGAGATGTGGGAGCAACTCAAACGGGCGGGGCAGCACCCTCCCACTCAGAGTGTGTCCTTAAGGACGGGGCGCATTTAATGGCTGGGTGACACGCATCCGAACGGAGCCCAGCACGGGCAGGGACGCAGGTCCGCTCGCACCTGCTCCCTGACCGCCGCACGAATCCCGACTGGTGTGCCCCTTTCGTTCTCGAGCCCTCCTATCGATAGTTGACTTATTTTTGCAGAGTTGAGTCACAATTTCACTGAAGCTAAAAGTGCCAACAGAGCACCCTTCCTCGTGCAGTAAAATGCTGTGAATTAATTTGAAAGGTGTTAGAGGGCTCCGGTGTTAGGAGCAGCCAGGACGAAGGGGACTGTCCCCTTGTCACATTCCTCCAGTCTGCAGCCCCTCTTCCCTGGAGCCAATGAGCTGGACCAGATCTCGAAAATCCATGACGTCATGGGCACCCCTGCTGCGAAGACCCTCACCAAGTTCAAACAGTGAGTGCCCCGTGCTCCTGGGGTCCCGGGTGGGCTTGTCCCCCGGCCAGGGCTGGAGCATGGGGGAGGGGGACCGAGGGCAGGGCCAGGCTGCCGTCTGTTGCAGGTGCAGCCCCGCAGTCCTTGGGGCCCCCAGGGTTCTGAGAGGGACGCTCTTCCTCAGGCATCTCAGAAGGGTTCTTACTGCCCTGAGGGCCTGGCGGTCAGGTCGTGGCCCGAATAGTTACACATTTACATGGTACTTAGAGGCCTCTGGGTAAATGAGGTTCCCAGGCACTGGCTCCATTCAGGGGAGGCTCCTGCGGCCGCCCCAGCTCTGCCAACAGCACTGACCCCGGCCGGGACTCGTTAGGATTCTGTGTTGCTCAGAGATGAAGCCAGGCCGGGGAGTGGGGCTTCCAGGAAGGGCCTGTGGGCCGAGGGGTGGTCAGCGCCCAGCAGCTGCACGACCTGGGAAGGCAAGGGGGTGACAGCTGTCTTGGATTTTCTTTCCTTCTTTGTTTTTTAATCATCACCCGAGGATATTTCTTCCGTTGTTTTTCAGAGAGAGTGGAGCGGGGGAGAGAGAATTGTCAATGTGAGAGAGACACGTCCATTGGTCGCCTCCCGGGCCGGGGATCGAGCCTGCAAGCGCTGTACGTGCCCTTGACCGGAGTGAAACCAGACCCTTCAGTCCGAGGGCTCCAACCACTGAGCAAACCTGCCAGGGCTCTTTTGCTTTTTTTAAACTTAACTGCACTCTTCTCAGCTGGAAATGTGGTATCAGCCTCTGGGGAAGGGTACTTTTCTTCCGTTTATAGATGACAGGTTCCACCACCACCACCCTTCTTTAAAAAGAAGACTTTATTTTTCAGAGCAGTTTTAGGTTCACAGCAAAGCTGAGGGGAAAGTACAGAGATTCCCCACACACCACCTGCCCGCGGCCCAGCCGCCCCATCAGCTAGTGACGAACCGCACTGACCCGACATTGTCCCCCAAAGTCCCCAGTTCCCTCGGGGGCCACTCTGTGTGGCGCCTTCTGGGTTGGCCCCCCGTGTACTCAGGCCCCTCTAGGTCGCAGGCCGTCACCCCAGCGCAGGTCCCTGTAGTCGTGACGAGAACGGGCCACGTGCTCGAAGTGATGGCATGATCGTCTGTTGTCATTGGGCTTTCAATACAGGTCGAGAGCTATGAGTTTTGATTTTCCTTTTANAATGGCGCCTTCTGGGTGGGCCCCGTGTACTCAGGCCCCTCTAGGTCACAGGCCGTCACCCCAGCGCAGGTCCCTGTAGTCGTGACGAGAACGGGCCACGTGCTCGAAGTGATGGCGTGATCGTCTGTTATCATTGGGCTTTCAATACNACGTGCTCGAAGTGATGGCATGATCGTCTGTTGTCATTGGGCTTTCAATACAGGTCGAGAGCTATGAGTTTTGATTTTCCTTTTAAAAAGGGATCAGGAATTCCTCTCCTGACAGCCAATCTGTCCCCGCAATGCCTCTCCCTCCTGCACGCAATGGTGGCCTATGATCCCGACGAGAGAATCAGTGCCCACCAGGCCCTGCAGCACCCCTATTTCCGAGAGCAGAGGTGGGTGCTCTGGACAACGGGGGTGGG